TTATGTAAAGTGTTCCAGATTTGCCTCCGCAACATTCGTGATGAAGTAGAACGAATTATATATCAAAACAACCTCCTATCCTTATACAAAATTCTGACAAAATTCTAAGACAACTTTTTATCTTGTAAAACTTTGTTAAACTTATTTTTTAAGTTGTTATGCAAAATATTTTACCTATTACGAATCGGATACAGGAAATAGCCTATCAGTTATTTAATCAGCTTCCAATATTCACTGCCAGTGTAGAAATCGATAGTTTATATGTATACTAAAGATTTTTGTAACTGGCAATAATTTCAGAAAACACAGCTACGTTAATATGCACACAAACATGCAAGTATGAGCTCGACACGCGGATAGACGGAAGGTTCCCATGTGCGTAAGTGGAGGGAGGAAAACGCTAGTGTGTCTGGGCACGATTCCCCATCATGCGTTCAGTCAACGAATTGCCTTCGCTGTGTGTACAAGTGTTAAGACCTGGACGCAAATATTATCGTTGCTGACAGAGTCGTAAACATAAATTGGTGTTAGAAATCAATGCACAAGGATTGACATTAATGCAAGTCATATCCATCGCATTGCCTACGTATACGTGAATCCTTATGCCTTAATTTCCAACACTGATTTATGTTTACGACTTATATATATATATATATATATATATATATATATATATATATATATATATATATATATATAGGTTGGCGATTGATAATCCTTTGGAGTTAAACACGTGGTTTGATTGTGTATTTCTTTGAAGGATTATCATTAATAGTAACTAACAGTGATTAATTGTGTTTTTTTTATTTTTTTTCTAATTACCTGTTCATACGTGAGTGCGAGTGAGAAAGAGACATAAAGAGAAGAAAAGAGAGAGAGAGAGATGCTAAAAACGTGCTTGAATACATGCGTGTATTATCGTAGCTGTGTGTTTTAATTAATTATAGTGTGTTTGCCAGTTATAAAAATCTTCAGTATATTTATAACATGAAGTATCAATTGCTATGGTGGCAGTGAATATTTGAACGTAGCTTGTGTATAACGATCAGCTGACTGCAGCAGACATTCCACGTCTGACGGTGAGTTGCATCACTTCTGTCTATCTTTTGTACACGATTTGTGATAAACAAACATTTTTTTCGTGATATCACGTGGAACCAAGCACCCTCTGTTACCTCATACCTCCTCATCATGATACCACACATACACGACTCATGGGGAAATGTGTATCATTATATTCTGTTGCTGGTCGAGTCACGAACCTTTGCACGAAACATATAGATTGGAACTCCCACGAAAACAGACTCTTCTCGCCACCAAATTTTCTCTTATTTTTTTTCCACGAACATATGTCAGCGAGACAGGTAAAGGGAGATAGGAGTGGATAAGTGAACGTGATTCTCATTCAAGAGAATAAGCGAGCCACTCGTGTACCTTTGAAAACGATGCAGCAAACTTTGACAAGAAGCAAACAACGTTTTTGTACGTATTAACAGTCGTTCAAAAACAAACAATGAAGATATGCAGTTTTATTTAATTAAAATTAATGACACGTATACCACTTCGTACAGGATATCAGTGTCATCCACCGTGACTTACTGAAAGGATGAAAGTACCGTAAAGTATGACATCGAAGTTTGTAGAATCTTCGAAAAGAAGAAAACACATGATATATTAATGAGGCTTCGAGACACTGTCTCGGATAATTCTCACTTTACCGTGGTGAAGCTCTGCAAGGAGAAAATGTAAATCTTGCCGGCGCTCAAGCAAGTCGGCCGAAGGCTCTGTATCATCACCAGTATGAGCAGCTTCTGCGATTTCGTGGGCGCCTCGTACCAGGAACTGTTGTATCTGCAAAATTCCTGCGAGATACACAAATCGAGCTTGGGAAATGACACGTCGGGGATACGGGCCAAGTGATAGGTCAATTCCGGAATAGTGGAAATTCAGCAAACACCAACTAACAGTAACTTCGACGTTATTAATTTCCTACTCAGTAATATAAATCTGACGTAACGAATGTTGTACGTTACATTGACCAAGTGAGAAATTATAAGATTGACTATGTACTCTGTTACTATTAGTTAGTGTTTATTGGGAAATGATCGACTCACATTCTGTCGCGTGTCTGCAGGCTGTGATCTATCAGCTTCTGTCCCTCGAAGCTGAGGAAGAACAAGTGGATCAATTGCCCAATGACGTATAACACGTATCTCGTCACTTCCAACAGGTCAGACTCCTGCGTGACCTCAAACACGAAAAGCACAAATGTTCTACGTTTCCGACCAATTCAAGAGTTACTTCACGTTACGACGAATAGATACGTACTTGTAGCAAGGTACTGCTCATCCCCAACACGACGCAAATCAGTTCCAGCGCGAAAGGCACGGTAAAGGTTCTCTCGAGAATCTGCGCGAACCTGCGATAAACATGAGAGATAAAAAAGTAATACTTTCGTTCGTCTCCCCGTTCTTCGCAATTTCATTGATTGCAAACAGGAACGCGTTGCATCACTTCTTTCGTTGCTCACTTTAAAGCTTCGCGATGAAAGTGTACGAAGAGAGCGATTTTATGATGATACGTATCGCTCGGATCAGTGTTTATGTTCTTCACAGTTTTACCAAGATCGCAGAACAAATATTTGAAACGTAATCTGCAAGCAATTTCCACATTCAAAATATAATTTTATTTTGTTTTAGAGTCTCAGACTCTCTTCTACAATTTTTGTAGAACGGTTTGTTGTAGAACGGTTTTTGTAGAATGTAAAACGGATTGAGATGAACACAAAAGTCTCATACCGTTTTGCGATATTCGCAATAAATCTCAAGATATTAATTAAATTTAATTAAAGATATTAATTAAATTTATATAATCTAATAATATTAATTTAATTAGAAATATTAGTTAAATTAATTAAATAATATATTTTTAAAGAAAGATATTAATTATATTAATTAAAGAAAATTAATGAATGATCACATGCGATATGGTAGATGAATTGTGCTAGTGGCGTCCTCTGCTGTTACATATTATAGAGTTTATTTTAAATCTGCCGCGGAATTAACTATAATAGTGCATGCAACAATTTTATTACATTAATAACTAAAAATCCATATGGTTATTCGCAAAATAATACAGGACTTTTTTATTTAGTTTCACTTAATGTATTAGCATATAACAGCACATATCGCCATTACAGCTCATTATACCATGTCGCGCGTGATCATTCTGCAATTTTAATTTGATATTTTAGACTTTCGCAGTGTCTATGCATATTAGATTTAGTTTCCGGGTTTGCGCCGCGTGAATTCTTCTTTGATTCCAAAGAAATGAGAATCTAATAAAACAAAGGAATCAAACAAAGAAGAAAACACGCGGCTCAAACCCGGAAACCAAATCTAATATTCTGCAATCCTCTTTATTTAATATCTATTATCGCGAATATCGCAAAACAAAACTTTTATATTCAATCCGTTCTACCTACAAAAATTGCGGAGGAGAGTCTGCAAGTATATCATAAAGTTTGTCTTCGCGGAATTGATATCTCACCCGACCACTGCAAATTTGCTGCAAATGTGCTCGATGTAAGTCACAAACAAGCAATCGTGAGCGACTATGCCGGCTATAATTATTTCCCAGGCCACGAGAGAATGCCCGAAAATGTAAATGAAGTATTCCCTATTATCCACAAAGTAGTATCCGGGATACGGCATCAGTACGGGACGGGATTCATTGAGGGGCCGTGTGATATCTAGTATGGGTGGCACAATCGATACCGACATGAACACGCACACAGCCATGAAGCAATATACTGCAAAATGCAGACGCACTTTATGAGAGGAAAGACATCGAGGTTCCCCTTGCGTGCCGAGATAGATAATGTCGAATGTTCACCCGAGTATATCAAAGAGAATCGTCTGCAATAATCGGCGTAAGACTTCATGACTTCGTACTCCTCGGCGGTCTCCAGTTCTTTCCAGTCGTTGAACAGGTGCTCGGTGAAAATTCTGATCTGAAAAAGACCCGATCGATGACATACTTTACCAGCAATCTGACGAAATAACACGTCAGCCCTTGCTAGAGCGCGCAAACATTTCGTTACTGGTCATTAACAATCATACCTGAGAAAAAATATCTAAATAATGAATAATATTTATTCGCTAGAATAAATTACGTACTTGCTTATAGGAATCTATTTTTCAAGTAAAAATTAATATTTTGAACAAAAATGTTCTTAGCATCCATCGAATAAATATATTTTATTTCCTAGATATTTTTTTCTCTCAGTATAATTATCATATTTAAATCATAATCGAATTACAACTATCATATGAAGATGATAATTATCAATAGCTAATAATAATTTCATTATTCAGCATTTTTTCCCGCTTGAAGTGCAATTTTATCGAGGTCGAGTACAGCGATGCACCGTGTCGTGAAGCGTACTTTAGGAATGTTTAGTTGGAATGTGTACACTTTCACCAAAGCCACACTGGTCAAGAGGCACGACGTCATTGACTCGAACATACACTGTAGATCCTTCTCGCAGGTGAACTGTTGCGCTATCTGGAAATACGATGAATCTCTCGCGATAAGCTTTTGGTGATTACGTCGTCTCGACTTTTACCTGCGGGACGAATATAGTTAACAATGTGGCAGACAGCAGAGCGGCGCGTAGCAATCTCGCTCTCGGTTCCAGGTACGGCCATAAGCCGGTGAGCGAGGATAATTTGTAGATGATGCCGTAATAATAATTCCAGGTGATTTTCATTCTTGCCGCGGATATGCTGCACCGTTCTCTCGTTGACTGAGGCTCGAGTAGGTGATCGACCTCGACAGTAGGGAAAATAGGAACGGGGTACATTCGAGATCTTCCCAGCGATCATGCGTGCTGCGTCTCGCGATCACGTGCATTTGACAGCTCCTTATTTACATTTCGTGTCCCCAACAACCGATTCTTCCCTCGTTGCGTAACAAGTGCCAATTAGGGTGTCCGAGAAAATAAGTATTTCTGCTACGAGAGGGTCGAGAGACATTCCCTCTTGCCGGAACCGAAGATCAGGATATCGCATGATGGGAAAACTACGCCTCTTAAAGGCGAAAGTTGTTTTTTGACAGAGATTTACCTGCTAGATGCTTGCGATTGGCTATCCCCTCCAATGATAAGCCTACCTTTGGCATATTTAACATTATCGTATAGTATTGAATCGCGAGAGAAAAGAATTTCTTTAACAAACTTTTTTTCGCGATAGAAAGTAAAGAATTTTCATGTTGTGTCGCACCAGTAAGTGCAGTTCATTTTTTTATATGAAACTCACGTCTACCTGGTAAAAAAAATTGTTAAATTGTATAATTGCTAATTGTTAACTGTTAACGAGACACGAAAATTCGATCTGCGACAAACCTGTCTCACTCGAAACATAATGGGGAAATATATATATATATATATATATATATATATATAGATTGGCGACTGATGATCCTTTGAAGTTAAACACGTAGGTTTGGTTATGTATTTCTTCCAAGGATTATCATTGACAGTGACTAACAGTGATCAGTTGTGTTTTTTTTTATTTTTTTTCTAATTACCTGTTCGTACGTGAGTGCAAGTGAGTGAGAAAGAGACATAAAGAGAAGAAAAGAGAGAAAGAGAGAGAGATACAGAAAACGTGCTTGAATATATATGCGTGTATTACCGTAGCTGTGTGTCTTAATTAATTCAAATGTGTTTGCCAATTATAAAAATCTTTAGTATACTTATAACATAAAGTATCAATTGCTATGCTAGCAGTGAATATTTGAACGTAGCTTGTGTATAAGGATCAGCTGACTGCAGCAGTCATCCTACGTCTGACGGTGAGTTGCATCACTCCTGTTTACCTCTTGTATTCTATTCGTGATAAGCAAACTATTTTTACTAACAACTTAAAAAATAAGTCTCGGACGAAGTTTTAAAATAAAAAATTGTCTTACAATTTTCTCAGAATTTTATATTTTTAAGGAAGAATAGGAGGTTTTGAATCATTCTTGTATATATGTATATATATATTTGTAAATTATATATTGTATATTGTATATTATTCTAGCTACAGTTACTCGCATTAATATTCGGACAGCATAATATTTAAAAATTATTAGGACCTTGAATAAGTTCTCGCTGATTTTTCGTGAAAATTAATGCTTTATTTAAAAAAAGGCGTAAAAAACATGTCACTGGAAGTATTGTCCATCGCTAACCATTACTTTTTCCCATCTTTCTGGCAGCATTTGAATTCCACGTCGGAAAAACGACACGTCTTTTGAAGTTATCCAAGAGTCGACCCTTTTTTTGGCATCTTCATAAGAATGGAAGTGCTGCTCAGCCAGGCCATGTGCCATCGATCGGAACAAGTGATAATCGGAAGAGGCAATGTCTGGTGAATACGGCGGGTGGGGTAGGACTTCCCATTTAAGCGTTTCCAAGTAGGTTTTCACCGGTTGTGCAACATGTAGCCGAGCGTTGTCATGTTGCAAAATCATTTTGTCGTGTCTCTGCCCGTATAACGGCCGTTTTTCCTTCAATGCTCGGCTCAAACGCATCAATTGTAGTCGATAGCGATCTCCCGTGATGGTTTCGTTCAGTTTGCGTAGCTTATAATAAACTACACCCAGCTGATCCCACCAAATGCAGAGCAGAAGCTTCGAACCATGGATATTCGGCTTTGCTGACGATGTTGATGCATGGTCGGGCTTACTCGACGATCTTTTACGCTTAGGGTTATCGTAGTGTATCCACTTTTCATCGCCAGTCACGATACGATGCAAAAAACCTTTCCTTTTCTGCCGTTGAAGCAGCTGTTCACACGTGAAAAGACACCATTCGACGTTTTTCGGCTTCAATTCGTACGGCACTCAATGTCCCTGCTTTTGAATCATTCCTAATACTTTCAAACGTTTCGAAACTGTTGTGTGACCAACTTCTAATGATTCTGCAAGTTCAGCTAGCGTCTGACATAAGTCTTCATGAAGTAATGCCTCCAATTCATCGTCTTCAAACTTTTTCGGTGCGCCAGAGCGTTCTTTATCTTCAACATCAAAATCATTATTTTTGAAGAGTCTAAACTAATCTCTGCATGTTGTTTCCGACAGAGCATGGTCGCGGTAAGTTTCAACAAGAATTCTGTGTGCTTCAGCTGCAGATTTTTTTTTAATAAAGTAGTGCGGTAAAATTCCCCGCAAATACTCTTTTTGGCACGAAATTCGACATGTTTAACACTATGAAAAAAAAAATTGTTTACACTTCGGCGAAATGACATATACTGAATTTTAAGCTTGCTTATAGTACTTCCTTATAGATGCGTTACCATC